AGAACAAAATCTTTCAACGCAAGCAATAAGAATAGGGGCAATCGTCATCATCCGATCTCAAATTCCACTCCGCTATGGAGAGGCACTCGCTTCATGCTTTTCGTCTAACCCATAAACGAAAGTGATCACTATACGCATGCAAAAACACCTACTGAACAAGGACTCGAACCCTTGACCATGCGAACATGAGACAACACTCCTAACCACTCCGCCATGGAGAGGCACTCGCTTCTTGCTTTTCGTCTAACCCATGAACGAAAGTGAATCACTGTACGCATGCAAAAACACCTACTGAACAAGGACTCGAACCCTTGACCATGCGAACATGAGACAACGAAAGTCAACCTGGTATAAGGCCATGCATCCGTGCTCCACTCACAGTTGCAGAATCGATTGAAAGGTGTTATATGATCATGACCAGTTGACAGAAGCTGCATTGTAGTAAACGCATTTCGTAACTCCTACAACCTGAAGAACAACTTCATTTGCCCAGGGCTTTTCCTTCACGGTTGTCGTTTTTGCGACAGGGTCCCTAACAACAGTGTCATTCTCAGCGAGGTATTAAGGGAGAAGGAGCGAGCGATAGGCAGAGGAGGTGCCTTTGCAGCGCGTGCGCACATGTGGCAGTCTTCTTTGCGGGGATGCACTTTCATTCTTTGTACTGCCTTCAAATACGCCCTTCTCATGAAGGTGGAGGAATGGAGCGACTGAACCTGCAAAGAAAATTTAATATCATGTTTTTTTCAGATATTTTCATTTTCTGCTGCGCTATACCCTCTTACCTATCTGCACCATGATACCACTTCTGTTACTGACCCCCAAGAGTACGACCCCCCATGACCCAGCCCGAACAGGTACGACCCCCCTGTCGAGGATTTCCTCGACCGATATTCACCCTGAACGTATTTATGAGATGTAACATTGGTGGAGGCCTTCGTCACTACCTCAAAGCAAGGGGTGTGTCACAACGTCTCTCCCACCAATGCGACATCACTCGGTCATGGTAAGTTTATCGCGACCGCTGCCTCTAACATACTGGGCCCGTCGTCGTGCTAAGATTCTACCAAACAGGGTGAAAATCGTGTCGAGGATGTGGTCGTAGCAGTATATTCCCTCACCCCCTGAAATCGGGTACGCCCTTAACTTTGATGTGAATTAACGAGTTGCACTACATCTTCTCCAAAGGTATGCAACCAGTGCGATTACCCGTGGGTCAAACTTGCTGAATCCCCACTCCAAACCATCGAAATCTACACCCTCACTAAAAAGGTACCGTTCAAGCTCATTTCATAACATTTCAGACAGTATGTGGATAGAGCTAGGTGTGCCACTTCCAACAAAACTGAAGTTGCTTCAGAAGCGAAGGAGCGGGCGATAGATAGAGGAGGTGCCTTTGCAGCGCGTGCGCACATGTGGCACTCTCTTTGCGGGGATGCACTTTCATTCTTTGTACTGCCTTCAAATACGCCCTTCTCATGAAGGTGGAGGAATGGAGCGACTGAACCTGCAAAGAAAATTTAATATCATGTTTTTTTTCGGATGTTTTCATTTTCTGCTGCGCTATATAACCCTCGATCCTACGAGTATGACCCCCATCCTCCCTCCCTGGGAAGTACAAGATCCCTGTCGAGGATTTCCTTGACCGCATACTTGACTGTTGACTCCCGACCCGATTCTATCCCTTGCCTTTCGTCTGAATGTTTAACACGTTGGAGACCGCGCATGTTTCACGTTTTGCGGCCGCGTGGGAGTTCAGTGAAATTTTTAGAATCTTATCAAGCAAATTGAAAAGAAAACCTACTGTATGATGCAGAAGAAACCTTATCGAATGCAAATGGAAAAGAAAGCAAAAGAAAAACTTGAATATTTGTTTCCGAAATGTGGGCTGAAAGGTCCTACGCGGTCGACAGGACTGCAGCCCACATATGGGCTGCGTGGGCTCCAAGGTGTTAATAAACAACTGAGACTTTACTACACATTTAGACCAAGATGAAACTTCGGCACGGAATAATTCTAAAGTATAACCTTGCCTTAAAGTAAAATGGAATGAAAGTGGATCTATTCCGTTTTCAGAGAGCACAGTGCCTTCGACTTGCACTTGTCATCGCGGTGACGTTGCGTGCTGTGCTTTAAGTGCGACTAGCAAGGTTCAGTCAATGATTCATGCAAGGTTACTGTCCTTCCAGCGTTATTTCAATCGCCAGTTGAAAGGATATGCTATAAAGGGGGATAGAGGATAAAGGAGTAGTCATCTTGGGCAGAACTAGGTTTGAAATTCGAACGCACAACGGGTTTGGAGGCAGTGGTTCTTTTAGTTCTTCTCCGCCCCCTCATGCATCTACAGCTGCCATTATTTGCTTCAAAGCCATGTGATGGACGGAAGGAGTCGTATCGGGGTATGACTTGGGAACGGGGTTGTACTCACATGATTTTCCTCGAAGCAACAACCCATGAGGTCGTGTCGAAAATCAGTTTTGTGTATTTGATAGAATAGCTGATGAGTTTCACAGTTCTGCTGTTCGCGGCTCGAAAATGCGCAACGATGGTGTTAAGGATTTTCAAAGTAAGCTAATGACGGATAATATGAGCTAGTGGACGAGATCATCTTGCACACACCCTATGGCGCAAGATGATTAGCGGCTGATTCAAATAAGCGGGGGTTAGGGGAGCCATGAGGCAAACAAGTTCAACTTCTTGTCCGACACGCCCCCTCACTTCAAGGAACAAGGAAGGGAATCACTATTCAAGGGATACATCGGTGACTTGCTTCGCTTCTTTTTACATCGTCAGCCAACTCGACATCCACAGTTCCATACCGAGTGTTGTTACCCCACCAATTTGATACTGGGTTGTTGCTTTAACCGTAAGTCATGCCCTGTATAGCATACCGGATAGTAAGCTTCCTTGGTTCCAGTGTGAAATGTCTTCCCTTTAGCTGTTCATGTGGTATGCTTTGTAAGAGAATAGAAAACAAAAATGTAATAAAATTCATCTGAAAATGAAGGCGTAAATGCAGCAAAGACTAGTGAAAACCGATATAATCAGCGCTCATTTGAGCAAAGGTGGTCCCGAACAAAATTGATACAGAATCGGTGGAAATTGGCACAATGATGAAGCCGCACACGCACACTCTCAAAAATATGTACATGAGGGGTGAAGGCACACATAATGAGACCATTCGTTGGTCAGCCATATAAGGAAATATACGAGCACTTATGTGTAAATGACATGGATTTGAATAGATATGAGAAAAAAGTGAAGATAAACAAGTGAGAAGTAAGCATACGCTATTGGTTGGCGCGTGGTAGAGAGTCTAGTTGCCACTGAATTGCTGCTCAGAAAGCATTCCAATGCAAGGGAATTCCTAGAACCAACGAGCGAAAAAGGCTTTGACTAGCAGAAAATATAGGATTTCTGTTGAGCGCACATTAATAAGCAGGAATTATTTAAGTGATCTGACAAGACAAGTGGCCAAGAATTTATAAAGAAAAAACGCAAATCTCTAGAATGATTAGATACGGCAATTGCACAGTGAAACTTGCATCAAATGTTAAAAGAATCTCCCAGAGATCCCGTATTCTTTGCACAAGATTCCAGCGCAAGTTCATTCCCTAGTGAATTCTTCTATATCTACGAACTACGACGGAGGTCCATCACTTTCTGAGCGATGTAGATACCATATTTTCCCAGCTAGGCTGGCCACAAGAGGGATGTTGCGAGGTACACGACAGGGAGCCCGTCGCGCGGCGAGAAGGCAGAGACGCGCAGAAGGGTCAGCGGCCGAGTCGCAGCGCTTTTTGTGGGATGTTAACGTACTATAGGAGCTTCATTTACCTTGACGCTAAGATCGTTACAGTACGCCGCTCCGAAACGTCGCTGAAGCCGTTACGTACTCTGCCTTCTCGCCCGCGCAACGACCCTCCTGCCGGTACCGAATGTTGGCACCGACAGAACACGCACGTCGCCCCTTGCATCCATGTTTTTGCTATTGCAATACATGCAAGGTCCGAAACCGCAAAAAATCTACAAGCGTCAACCACCCATCACCAAACGACGCCTCTGGAGCGAGATTCTCAAGGCGCACGGCACCACTGGCGCATAAACCAACATTTATGTTATGTTATGTTTATTACATGACAAGCATGTACAAATCGCCAGTAGGCGGGGGAACACAAAAGGCAAGAAAACACGGCAAAAAAAAACAATGACAATGACATCGAAACAACAGTAAACATAGAAGAATGGGCAACTCGCGGTTTAGAATTTCCTTTCAAACAAAGTGAACACTTAACGTTGTCGCACCTCCAGTACTGAATCAGGGTCGCGACCGGTTCGTTGGTAATTATACCATGAGAAGGCTGTATTTGGCAAAGAGTAGGGTCTTGCATTCCGCCCTCAAGAAGCGTGATACGCGCTGAAATCGTAAGACGACGCGACAATCACGTTTGTCAGCGAAGTCACCAAGCTTCCGCTGTTCATCAGAAATGAGCTTATAGATGCGGCGAAACTCGTAGGCAACCGCGTAGAGGCCGAAATGCTGAGAGTATCTTGTTGGTTCCCCTACTTAGCCATCTAAGAGCGGGGAGTGCAAATACAGCGCCCGCATATGCCAGACACATACATACTGCGCACCGGCACCTATTTAAAAGTCAAAATCACTATCTCCACAACTCATTCGCGACGCGACCGCAGGCGGCATCACCGATGGCATCGCTGAAGCCCACAGCTCAAACTGTTGGTCTTGGTGTCGCAAAACGCAGACCCCCATGGAGTCCGGGAACTAACTATACTACACAACATGTGCAATGCGTAAATGGTAATTGTTTCACATGCAACTGTGTTTACATAACAATTCTAGACCTTAGTTTAGGACTCCGAGTTACGCGATTGTAGCCAGTCCAAATGGGCGCCTACAATGAGGGCCGAAAATACCTAGGAACTATCCGAAGAGTAAATTCATAAAACTTGTCCAAATGAGTAGAATATGCCGGTAGGCATTACCATTTTACAAGTTTTATGAATTTACTCTTCGGATAGTTCCTGATGAGGTATTTTCGACCTTCATTATAGGCGAGGAGATAGAGACCGACCAACGGCGCGATTGCCCACACATGTGGGGGAGGTGCATGGGTGTCCATGAAGTATTGACTGACCGGTGTATAGACGAACATCACTAGTAGGAGGATCTGGAAATGAATGCGTTGAGAGGTACCGCAGGAAGCACGTGCAGGGTGAGCTTACCTCAATGATACGGCGAAATGAGACACGTGGTAATGCGTTCGAACACAGAAACTCGAACCGGGTGCGCAAGTGTATAGGGGAACACCTAAACTATTTCTCGTCTTAAATAGCATTGGCTATAGCTTAAAACACATGCCGGGCCATATTTGCCACAGTAAGACTCGTTTTCCTTGAGTCTTATTTGGTATTTTCATGTCTAAATTTGTCCGCTGCCTGTACTACCGTTTAAAGAATGTTAATACCGCAAACAAACAATCTGAGGGAAAATGCTTCTCGAAAAAAACCTTCGAAGCAGGTTGTCAAACCACACGCACAATGGCACTGCGTAGCGAAACCATTTATGAAACAAAGCTGAAGATCCGCGAAATGTAGGTCGCACACATAGCATCACCCAATCACATCACGCGGTATGGGCGGAGGGGGGGGGGGGGGGGTGCGTGTTATGAGTATTCATGATTGGCTGTTGTCTTTCCTCCAAACGCAGGCATCTCTCCTTCATGCCCCCCTCTCTCATGTTCTTCCGCCCATTCGCAAACATTTCCTGTGAAGAACTGACCTGCGACATGACGAGCACCACCTGCCAAGCACCAGCAGCCTGCCCTTTTATGAACAACTGCTGAGCCTCATCGTAGACCACACCATCACTGGTGGTGAAATTCACAGCGCCAATTTTCCAGTGATGTTCAGCGGTGAATAATAAGTCATTGAACGTGATGTTGTGATACCTCAAATTGATAAAAATTAACTCAACAACTCAAATGAATTCTTAGGTAACCCAGCACAGTCAGTACAACGCACCAGTACACACTCAAGTACGCCGCGATGCAGCCGATGGTGATCCCAGTACCGGCGAAAAGATATGCGTAAACAAGTAGCCCCTTTGAGAGGAGACGAGTTTTCCTACTACGTGGGCGAGTTAGCATAATGTCCTGTTCGGGTTGTTCATAAGCAAGCGACACAGCTGGCGGCATTTCAGACGCCAAATCGATAGAGAGGATCTAAAAATTTGGGACAATCAAAAAACACCTCGCGTTTCAAATAAAATATGTATAAAACAAAAAAGAAAAAGTGAACAAAGGAAAGAAGAATGAAGGAATAAACATGAGTGCCAAAGATTTTGGATCGAGGTGCAGCAACTGTTAATTCGCGACCGCACCACAACCGCTCGCGTACAAGACCGACTACTTCAAGTGTGTACTTTACCTGCATTGGCGATAGCCCTTGAGGTAATCCGAGTATAAACGTGAGCATAATTGGAAAGATTTCCGGCCACAGATGGGCAAATGTGTACGCTAGAGAGAGCCTAAAAGGAACATTGCTTTGAAGTGAGTGAGCTTTAGGGACCTGAATGAAGCATTTCGTACCTGAGATTATCAAAGAGGAGTCGTCCTTCTTCAATTCCCATTACAATCGAAGCGAAGTTATCATCCAGTAGAACAATGTCGGCTGTCTGACGGGCAATATCGCTGCCTTGAAATTATGAAGAAATATTTGAAATAAATAAGTGTATTCACTGAATTGATCGAATCAGTGTTCAGTAAACTACGGACAACTCACCACACAGACCCATGGCGATGCCGATGTTGGCGTGTGCGAGCGCTGGTGCATCGTTGACACCTCCACCGGTCACCGCCACTGTTTCACCACGTCGTTGGACTTCCTGGACAATTTGCAACTTCTGTTCAGGATTCGTCCTGAAAAGCACATTGTGTAGGCCAGCTCTGACATCAAACCTCAGGATTCATATGCAGTTCGTTGAATTGCGTTTCTAGTGTTTATATCATGGTCCTTTTTGTCGATTTGGTAGGTTGCAAGTCGCCATGAGGCCAAACGACTTCGAGAGTACGCGAAACGGGAATTAGAATGCGGATCTCGAAGAAGCCTCTTTTTTTTCTTAGCTCTTTGTGCAGCATGTCAGCAAACTGAGGGGAACCGCTAACTCGCAAAACATATAGCTTATGTGCTTCAGCGATGCGTCCCAGCTCGGATTGGGGGGTGACACTTTGAGCAGGTTCTACCTCTCAGTTTAACCAGGCGCAATCACGATTAGCTGTCGATTTTGAGGCCTAAAACATTCCTTATAGCAACACTCCCTGCAGGGTTTTAGCCTTCGACACTAATGGCGTGGAACGATGCGCTAGCCCTAATCAAGAGTATAGGAAAGAAGCCGTCAGCTTTGGAAACGCCGCTGGAGGATCGGAGCTGACGACTCGAGTGGGCATGGGTTGCAAGTCGGGCCGGGAACTTGCAGCGCGATGAGCAACAGCCATTAGAAGCCGTTCAGCCTCCCTTTCTAAAGTTTGTTCCAAGGGTGCGTTTTCGCGTGTCAAGCGCACTTTTATGATCTCGACTCGGCTGCGATCATTTCCCCATTAGGTTGTTAAAGGTGAAAACCTTCTGGACTGTGGCTTTTTTGAGATCATAAGCTGGTTATAGTTGTGACTGGATAGTAAACGAGACAAGGTAATGAATGCACACATATTAACAGGTTGTTCATGAGTCACTCGCGGACAAGTAGCCTTTCTAGCAACTAGACTCTTTTTGATGAGTGCGGGGTTGATGGCCGAGTTCTGAATTCGTGGAAAGAATGGGTTTGAACATGAGTATGGCAAAAACGTAGCGCAGCCAGAACTTGCACTCGGTGCTCGTGATTGCGTGTGTCTTATCATGACAATGACAGAGCGCGAGAACACCGTTCCTCGTTTCAATGTGGCCAAGTGTGTTCGCAGTGGCAGCTTGAGTAGCATAACCCAAACCATATCCAATGTGAAAAAAGTATATCAGTGTTGGCGACGCCATCTCTAGCTCATTCTCAATGGTATAAGCATAAATGTATGTAGTTCCTTCCACTCAAAAGCTCAACAACAACTGCCCTAGTAGGAGTTCCTCAAAAACGATCACGAGTGCTTTTAGCATTGTTTACAGAGGACGTGAATGTGCTCAATGGTTCGCCAATGGCGAAAGAAGCTGAGGAATCCGTCAAGAAAACTCGACAATGGGACCCCTGATTGGCCGTTGATCTTCGCGCAATGACGGGCAAGACGGCAGACGTATGGACGAGTTTACGCAGCGAGTTTCAGTGACACATGTCCCCCATGCTACGTCTAACTGCGCCATTGTGCGACTAATCCAATCACTAAGTAAACTAGCGGGCGGATTGGGTGTCCCCCAAGCAGAGTCAACCCTGCGTTGCGCAGTTCGCAACGGCACGTTGAGAGATCCTCAACGCACGCTGTATGGGCGGAGACGCAGACGGCTCGAGCATGCGAGTGTGAATGTTCGCGCGAGAGAACGTGTCTAATCGGGCGAAACTGCGCAACGTGGCCGTTGAAACTGCGCAACGCAGGGTTGACTCTGCCCCCAAGAGGCCCATCGCGCGGCAAAGAGACGCAGATGCGGCAAAGGACGAGTCGCAGCGCGTGCTGTGCGATGAGACGTAGTATGGTACACTCTATTTAACCTGACGCCTAACCGCTACAGTATGCGCTGCGACTCGTCCGCGTCTGCGTCTCTTCCTTCGCCGCGCGATTGGGCCTCCTAGGGGTCTTCCGGACGGATTGCTTTTGGGACGGGGCCCTTCGAAGTCCCCCAGCAACCAGCACACCTTTCGTAGTGAAACTACCACACCCCGCTTCCCTAGCAGCCAAGAAACTGCTCTTTGTGACGCATACACTTCCCCGATGCGCTCCCTCTTTATCGTAACCGCTTAATTCAATTATTCAAATTTGGCAAGGGTTCTTTTGTGTCACTGAGAAGCTATTTGTCAGAGATCTTGCTGGCGTCACCTCGCATCTCATTATAGGTGAACAAATTAGTTTAGATCTCATCTCCACTGTGTACTGCCCGACCATCACCGTACCGTAATCATGCCTACCATGATTACGGTATAAATGTATACGGTAAGTGTCTGTTGTGGACGCTATGTGTGATAGTCGACCACAACATATTTTTAGGGCGTAGTCACTGTACTAGGAGAATAGGCGAATGCAAGGTCTCCTACATAACGCTAAGGTAGGAGCGCGGCCGAAGGCTCTAGGGGTGACGAGTAACAAACATGTTGAACCGTGGCTCGCAGATGACGTGGAAGGACGTGAATCTCTAGCTCATCACTCACTACCACTGATAAGGATAGCGGCTGACATCATTTCGAATTTGCTAGGGATACTGTTCAGTTTCTATCATTCACGCGTAACGACTGGTCTATTAACGCCCTCAGTGGTGAGTTCAAGTTGTTATCAACCGTTAGGGCGTCATGCTGAGGCATGGAAGCGGCCAGCCGATCATAAACGGATAATTAAGTTTAGATATGAGTTTTGGGGCAGGGTGATATCTCCCTCCAGGTTGGGGCATTAGACGATACTTTAAAATTTATCTGTTGGCGCTCATGTTCTTAGGGGGCACATTCAAAACAGGGCATTCCAAAACCGCTGGTAGGTGACACTAGGACTAAGCCTAGGATTG